AAATAAATAAAATCTTTAAAAAAAAAAAAAAAAGAAAAGAAAATCTTGGAGAGTAAACTTTTTAGATGGCCATAGTTAGTGTTATTTAGCAGTTATTCTTACTCAATTAAGATTTGTTTCTCTGAGCCCCTGTGAAGTAAAAGCAGCTGAATACCATTTCCACCTTAAGCTTTTACTTTAAGCTTCTTGAAAGCTGAAAGAACTCTCACCAAGGAGTTGATCTAAACCTCAGACTTCAGAAGAAAACACTTGAAGCTTTTTTTTTTTTTTTTTTAGCCTTCTTGACTCATGTTTACAGATTTCTTCAGCAATGACTTCTGGTTTATGGAGAAAAGATTTTAAACCAACTGACTGAGAGCATTTAGGTCTATCCCCAGGAAAATGATGAGTTCCATGTATGGTTGGTGTATTAGTTGAACATCTTTGGTTGCAAGTGAAAGGATACATGAAGGGCTGGAATGATTCTGGGCTTCTGGAAGCCAGTGAAACCAGAATGCAGCGCCAGAAAGCTCCAGAGACCAGGAAGTATTTTTTCTTCATGTTTTTTCTCTCCATGTGTCTATTTCCTTTTTCTATCTCTTAGCTTACTAACTGCCTTTACTTCTCAGACATCCTAATATAATGACAGAATATGGCTACCACTTAGTTCCCAAATTTACATGTTACCATTCCTTCCACTTGAGAAGACTACTAGACTGTCTTTTGTCCCATGTTAAGTTCCCAGAGGAAAAGATCAGGATTTAGGTCAGATGTCCACCCTGACATTTATAACCTATTAACAGACGGTCACTTCCTACAAATAAGGCTGCTAGGGGCCCCGCTTTATAAAACAGGATAATTTGAGCCTCATGGCCTAATAATTTCCTGTTAAATGGGCTTGGAACTGTCCAGAGAGTTCCCAGCCCAGGAAAATTAGATTAGACTCACGCTAAAATTGTATTTTTTTAAATTTGATTGATTGATTGATATCACAAATGCATTGGTTTGACTATTTTGTAGTATTATACTCTTGTTACCAATACAAATGACAGCTTATAGTTCCTTTCTCCATTCATTTAAAATGGAAATAGTAATGGCCTTGAACAATCATCCAGTGTTCAGATCAGTGATTGTCTGAACCATTCAGGGAAGATATAAGCTCTTCTTAAGGAAATCCAGGAAAAGAAACTACAACCATCCTTCAGTGACCTATTCAACTATTTCTTTTTTTTTTAATCATGCTTTGACTTTGAAAACAGAACTGTATAATTTTAGGAACCTAGACTTGAATTATTGACCTAGTATAGGCCCACCTCAACCGAGCCAAATACAATGAAGAACTTTTCTATTCCTCAGCAACTTATGAAAATAAGTCCCATAATACTGAAACAGCTTTTATTTCTTGATGGTTGCTTTCTATTTTATACCACCAGTATCTTCTTACTTACCTATGTGACTATGATACAGTTTCTCAGGGCCTTCGGAATAAGATTGAAATTTCAGCTACTTAATCTCAAAGAAATAAATATCTCTGCCCTATTTTAAAAGACTTTTAAAGAAGATTCTTCAGCTTTTCCTCTACTGCCCACTGCCACATACTCCTGTGTGTATCCACAATCTGTGTATAAGAAAATGAGGTGGGACCTTGAATTTGTTCTGATATACAGTGGGTCATAGCTAATGACTGAGCCAGGACCGGAGTTCCTACTTTCTGATTTCCTGTCTGATGCTCTTTTTGAACAGTCTTTTTTTTTTTTTTTAAGATTTTATTTTAAGAGAGAGAGAAAAAAAGAGCACGATCAGGGGGAGGGGCACAGGGAAAGGCAGAAGCAGACTCCCCACGGAGCAGGGAGCCTGATGTGGGACTCGATCCCAGGACCCTGAGATTATGACCTGAGCCAAAGGCAGACACTTAGCCGACTGAGCCACCCAAGTGCCCCTGCACAGTCTTATGAGGAGAAAAGAATCAGGTTAGAAATGTCTTGTGTCCTATGCCTTGAATGTAGACAAGTTCTTCCTAATCCCTTTGGTGGCCGCAGTCTCCATGGAAGGTCCATTCTGTAAGAAAACACAGGCCTTTGCATACTTTTGTGTCTTTACAATCTTAATTCATAGCTCTTTTTTCTTTATTTCCTCTTAGATTCCTTTCAGGGTATCTGTGTGAGAGGAAAGAAAATTTCTCATTCATTTGCTCTTTAAATAAAAATATGTTAAGTACATGCTTTGTGTCAGGTCCTATGCTAGGCATAGCATGCATTACTATTATTGGACTCAGATAGAAAATTCTGTTGAATTCTACTTTAAAAATTCTAGGTGATTACTTGCAAAACACAGCAAAGAGCTGTCATGTCCATACTCCCCATTAGATCACCATGATACGAGGTTAGCCATGCAGTGTCATTATCCCAATCATATCTCTTTGATGAGGGCAATGTGTGTAATAGTGATAGCTTGCAAGTGTTAAGTGCCAGGTACTATACTTGGTATTTTACGTTCATCATCTTATTTAAGCCTCACAACAACCCGGTGATGGGTATTGTAAATACCTTCTTATAGATGAATAAACTGAGGTTCAGGCAAAAATGGTTAACATTTAAGTCATTTACTGTGTACCAGGTACTGTGTTAGGTGCTTATATGAATTATGCTTAATCCTTACAGGAGCCCTATGATGGTCAACATAATTATTCCCATTTTAAAGATGAAAAAACTAGGATTCCAAGAGGTTAGGTATATTGCTCAGGTCATACTAGTAAGTGGTCTAACTTAGTTAAGAGTAGTAATTATACACCTAGCTTCACACTTCAAAGCCAAGATTAGGATTTCTCTTGAATTTTAGTCTAATATTCCTGCCTTCAGAAGTGGATCATGGGTGAGATCACTCTTGAGTCCTATGTGTCAAGGCACTGGGACTGCCTTCCGTCTGTCCTGGTACACTGGCCTCCCTGGAGGGCTCAGTGCTTTGTTGGCCATTTCCTATGGATGGCCTGATGTCTGAGCATGCCCAGGAGAGTCTTAAACAGAATCCGTTTTGACCCAAACATCATGAACCCACCACCATGTTTTCCTGTGTCTATCACTGATACCTCCCTTACAGTTAAGAAAGCTACATGCAGGTTCAAATTTGAACCAGTGGCTTGTATTTAAACCTCAAATTCAAGTGGGTTAGATTTTGTTTTGTTTTGTTTTCAATCTAGGACAGAAAAAAGGCCAGTTGTAGAGAACAGGGCATATATGTGGTCCAGAGAAGGTGTATTTGTAAATGGAAAGGCAAACTGTAAATACTGGGTTGATAATAATTAACCTTTTCAATACATTGGTATTTCCAGAACCCTTGGGAAAATATTTATCGTACTTTCTCACAACTTGGCTTTTAAACTTTCCAGTAGTTCTCTGTCCAGCCAGGAGACCTCCTCAATCCCTGATCTTCCCATTTGTTTATTCAGTGAATATTTACTGAGTACCTGCTGTGGGTTAGGCAGTCTAGATACAGTTGTGAATGAGACAGATAAATAATTAATTATAAGCATGATAAATGCTATAGAGGAAAGTATAAGGTGCTATTAAATTATTAATAATAATGGGGGAGGGAGAAGAATTGAAAGTCAGGGAAGGCTTTCTGAGGGAATTGCTATTTAAGCTGAGCCTGAAGAATGAAGAGGAGTTAGGCGGGTAGGACAGGGGAATGGAAGGAAGCATTCCAGACAGAGGGAAGAGTATGTATGAATGCTCTGAGGCAAGTAAGAGCCTGACTCATTTGAGAAGCTAAGCAGCAGTCAGACCCAGGAGAGTACTTCCAGGAGGAAAAGAGCCTCATGTTGGAGAAGGAACTCTTTTTCTTCTTAAAAATTATTGACTTAAGAATGAATACTTCTGGAAAAATTGATAATATTGCTGACCCATTGTTATTCCCATGGCATAAGAGAGAGAGTGGCCATGGTTCAAGGGTGGTGCTGTGGGGAGGAGTAGAAGCCAGTAGCTAAGAGGGAGGCTGGGGGAGGTGGGGAGGGCTCTGAAGTGACTCTGATTCTGGGGCTTCTATCTCCTCAGGCCTGAAGACCATTGTGGGTGCCCTAATCCAGTCAGTGAAGAAGCTGTCAGATGTGATGATTCTGACAGTGTTCTGCCTGAGTGTCTTTGCCTTGATTGGACTGCAGCTGTTCATGGGCAACCTGCGAAATAAGTGTGTTGTGTGGCCCATAAACTTCAACGAGAGCTATCTGGAAAATGGCACCAAAGGCTTTGATTGGGAAGAATATATCAACAATAAAAGTAGGTGGCCCCTTCTCTGCAAGGGGCAAAAGACAAGTCTGTCTCTAATTTACATGGTCTGATGCCATCACTGGGCTTTAAAAAGTAGTTGGGGCCAGAAAGGAGTCCAGTGCTACTGAAGTTATTCCCTGTCCTCGGGGTAACACTGTGTTCAGAAGCGTCTCTGGGTTTTTTCTCTCCCTTTAAAACCCAACGTGAAACTCTATAGCTTTTTCACAGGCACCCCTAAACTTTTGCTTTCAAAATCAGGCTTAGGAGTTCGATAAAAATACCTTTTGCCCTAGTTGGGTTACCTCAGATGGTTCAGAAAATGCCTCGTAAGCTCTCTTCATGTTACTATGACCTTAGTAGTCAGCCTGGTGTGGGAAGTCAGGAAAACTCTAAGTAACCATTTGAGCCCCTTTCAGTGAAGGAGTTTTAATAATTTCATTTCAGGAACCACAGCACTTGGGTGTGCACTAAGGAACATTTGGTGTGGTAGTACTTCCATAAAATAATTGGGAAAATTTAGCAATATCACTGTTCATCACCCTGGAGGAACTAAAGGCACTTAAGTAGCCATTAAAAAAATGTTATTGCAAAGGCAATTTCAGGGACACATACAGGAAAGGGGAAACATGCCTTCTAATTAATACAGGACAATGTAATGTGATCAGTGAGGGTTTTAGCCTCTCTTTGGTAAAGAGAAGTTTAAAGGATAGAAGGCTAAAGTTGTATGGAGGAGTAAAGAGCTCAGAAAACTCACTTTCAGACCCCTTAGACTCAAGCACCAGAAAGTAGCATATAGATGTCAAATATGAGTGGAGGCCAAGTGTCTGTGAAAAGGACTTTGGATTAGGGCTATATGGTAGCACTTTTCATTTTTAAGTATATATAAGAAAATAATTAATGGGAAAGAATTCTTATCAGGGTTTACTCTGTCAAAAAAGATTTATATGAGCTAAAATCAGTGACTGTTTCTGCCGGGGCTAGTTAGGAACAGTGTAACCTTATTCTCTCATTCACTTAAATCTGCCTTATTCATTTCCTGCTCTTTAAACTTTTCTAGCAAATTTTTACACAGTTCCTGGCATGCTGGAACCTTTACTCTGTGGGAACAGTTCTGATGCTGGGTAAGTAGCTCGCCTAATTTTATTCTTCTCCCTTAAAATAATGTGTCAGATGAAAATGGGCAATATTTTCACTTTTCTTTGTACTCATGTAGTAGATCCTAACTGGGTCTGACATATTGGTTGACTCAGAGTTTCTTCCTGTTTCATATTCGTCCATCCAAAATTGGCATTTCACTAGTAGGTGAATGTGCCTATAGTCTCAAGCCAAAATTAAAAATGTAAAAGGCTAAGGATAGAGTCTATAACACCAGATACCTTGCCTGTCTCTTGTAGACTTCCCTCATTCTATTATAACACGATTAATAAAATATAGAGTAGGGACACTGCCTTGATGATAGATTAGTACCAAGGATGACCCAAAACATAGCAGGCCTGATGGCATGGGAAGGGAACAGAATAGCAACATAATATTTTTCTCCATTTTTAAAAAATATTTTATTTATTTATTTATTTATTTATTTATTTGAGAAAGAGAGCCCACAAGCAGGGGGAAGGGGAGAGGGAGTGGGGAGAAGCAGACTCCCCGCTGAGCACGGACCTTAAGTGGGACAGGATCCCCAGACCCTGGGGTCATGACCTGAGCCAAAGGCAGCCACTTAACCAACTGAGGCACCCAGGGGTCCCTTTTTTTTTTCCATTTTTAAAATATTGTGGTAAAATACGTAGAACATAAGATTTACTCTTGTAACCATTTTTAAGTGTCCCGTTCAGTAGCATTAAATACATTCACAGTGTTGTACAACCATCAACACCATCCATCCCCAGTACTTTCCATCTTCCCAAACTGAGACTGTACCCATTAAACACTAAATTCCCATCTTCCCCTCCCAGTCCCCTAGTGACCACCATTCCACTTTCTGTCTCTATGATTTTGACCACTGTAAGTACGTCATGTAAGTGGAGTCATACAGTGATTGTCTTTTTGTGACTGACTTCTTTCACTTAGCATGATGTCCTCAAGGTTTACCCATGTGATAGCATATGTCAGAATTTCCTTCCTTTTTTAGGCTGAATGATATTCCATTGTTTCTGTATGCCACATTTTGTTTATCCATTCATCTGCCAACAGACACTCAAGTTGCTTCCATATTTTAGTTATTGTGAATAATGCTGCTATGAACACAAGTTTATAGCAACATAATGTGAATCTTGATTCTGCTACTTTTAGCTTTGAGGCTTTTGGCAAGCCTTTCAACTTAGTTGAGCCTCAATTTCGTCATCTATAAAATGGATTTAATAAGTCACATTCTCAATTCCTCAAAGGGTTATTTTAATGATCCAATTAGATAACATACATGAAAGTGCTTTGTAAACAGAAAATTATATAAATGTGAGGGTGTCAAATCATTATCCAGAGTATATTGGTCCTCTAGGAATTAGTGTTTTAAGATGACCATGACAACTAGAAGTCCGTTTAATTTCTCTATCAAAGTAGATACTAGAAATTACATTGAAATAACTATCAGGTGAATCTAAAAGCAGGAGAACTGATAAAACCAAGGTCACTGAAATCCCCAGTATGACTTAGGTTGTCATTAAGGTTGCGTATTAAGAGAAGAGAGAGGGGCGCCTGGGTGGCTCAGTCATTAAGCGTCTGCCTTCGGCTCAGGTCATGATCCCAGTGTCCTGGGATTGAGCCCTGAATCGGGCTCCCTGCTTGTCGGGAAGACTGCTTCTCCCTCTCCCACTCCTCCTGCTTGTGTTCCTGCTCTCACTGTGTCTCTCTCTGTCAAATAAATAAATAAAATCTTAAAAAAAAAAAGAGAGAGAGAACAGATGATTAAGAGGAACTTCTAGCTGGCCATTTGTCATTTGGGATAGTAGCTAAGATGAATTTGGTTGAATTGCACATTGATGTAAATCTAGGACAATGATTCTCAAATTTTGGCGTGCATAAGAATCACCTGGCATGCCTCTTTAAAATGCAGATTCATGGCTCCCATGTCCAGAGCTTTTATTCCTAGGTCTGGGTAGGACATAGGAATCAGCATTTTTAAGAGGCATGCCTGGTGATTCTGATCCTAGGCTGTTCCCAGAACATCATTTTTTTTCCTTTAAAGTTGACCTGACTAGGGACGCCTGGGTGGCTCAGTCAGTTGAGTGTCTGCCTTTGGCTCAGGTCATGATCTCAGGGTCATGGGATTGAGTCCCAAATCAGGCTCCCTGCTCAGTGGGGAGCCTGCTTCTCCTCTGCCTGCCACTCCCCCTGCTTGTGCTCTATCTCTCTCTCTACGATAAATAAATAAAATCTTTAAAAAAAAAAAAAAAAGTTGACCTAACTACTTTGTTCTTTCTTCTTTTTCCTTTTTTTTTTTTAATACCTATTTTTTTGGCCTGACTTTCTAGATGGTTACTTATTATCTCCACTGTCCTGGAGATAGCTTAGAGTTGATGTTTGGGTAGAATTATACGGAAAAACCCTCAACTTCCCTTTCTTTTCTCAGGCAATGCCCAGAGGGATACCAGTGTATGAAAGCAGGAAGGAACCCCAATTATGGTTACACAAGCTTTGACACTTTCAGCTGGGCCTTCTTGGCATTATTTCGCCTTATGACCCAGGACTACTGGGAAAACTTGTATCAGTTGGTAAGTAGTAACACCTCTTTTTTTGAGTGCTGCCTTTTTTTTCTTTGGTGACAGAATTTGCATGAGGGTTTGTGGGTTTGGAGACATTCTGTGTAAGAGACCTTCAGGGAAGATATTATATAGGATTATAGGATGTTGTTTCTCAGAGTCAGCTGGTTTACAAAATTAAATGAATTCTCCCAGCTCTTGTCCCTGTTTCTTTAGTAGCCAGTCACGTGTAGCTGTAGAGGCTCACGGTCTTGACAGCCTTTTCCCTGGCCTGGGAATCTGCTATCTCTGTTTACTTCCTGTTGTTTCACCAGACCATCTGCAGTATTTCTCTTCTCAGATTTTTGGCTTAGAACATCTTTTTAGGGAATATCAATTAAACATACTGTACAAGGCACTATGCTAGACATTATAAGGATGAGATTTCTATCCACAAGGATCTTGGATTCTCAACGTATCAACATTTGTGAGATTTGTAACACATCTGAACTTGTTCAGGCAGGTTGTGACAGATTCAAAAAAAAAAAAGGTCTACCATTCTGTTGGGCTATCTTGGTGACTGTAGGCAAGTCATTTAACTTTGCTGGTGGTGATGGAGAAGTAAGTCTGGGTGATTGCTAAGGGTCTTCCAGCTTAGAAATTCCATGATAATTCATTGTTTTCTATTTGACTTTGTCATTTGGTGATGCCCGTTTGAGAATGAGAAACATGTCTCCCTCAGACATGAAGGATCTCTTGAAGGGAAGCTTCTGATTTTCAGATCCCATAAGGAATTCTTACTTTCCATTGGACAGCCTAGAGTTCTCTTAGGTTCAAATCTTTTCTCCTGAAATATTTACGGTTGTTGCTAAGTTCCATTAAATATTTGTGGTTGAAAAGAATAACAATGAAAACTAAGTAATAGTGGGTCACATATACATAACCTAAAACCCAAGTGTTCTTTGATGTCTGTTTGCTCACTAATAGTGAAGGGAATAGTCCTAGGATCTTCTTTTCTCTCTACTGTTCTTTATGCCATATCCCTCTTTAAAAACCCACCTTCTTACTGAAGGGTAAGGAAGGATGTCACTTAAGATGGGGACTTTCTGTGACTTGGACCTGATCCCTAAGTTGAAGTTTGTCTATTAATGCTCTTTGAGGACCCGTAGATAAATGAGCTGAAGTCTTGTATTCTTTTCTTTATACTTGTTTTAGAACCAACTAACAAAGTCAAATATAATTCTTAGCTCAGAGCATTTTTTCCTTTAAAAAAAAAGAATCAAGTGTTTTTCCATGAAAGGAGTATATTAGGAGTATTTGGAAATGGAAGAGGATTTTTTCTGTCACAATGAATGGGAGGTACTAGTGACATTTACTCTGAGTTGAGGAATAGAGGAAGCCATTTGGCCATTGGGATGCTAAGTGCTCTGCAATATGAAGGCGCACCACACAATAAAGGACTGTTCTTTTTTTTTTTTTTTT